TAAAGGGGGGAAATGTGGGTGAGAGAGGGTATATGCAGGATGGAGGGGGTGAAGGAGGGGAGTCGGACAACTAATGGCATAATCAATAAAATATATTAAAAAAAGAATGGAAGGGCAGATAAAGTGCTTCCCAGATAAGGTCAAGTTAAAGGAGTTCAACATCACCAAGCCCTTATTATATCAAATGTAAGGGACTTATTTTCCCTTATATGAAAAAAGGGACTTATTTAAGAAAAAGAAAATTAAAAATATAAATAGTAGAAGGACAACAAACTCACAACTATTAACAACTGAACCTAAAAAGAACAAAAACTTAGCAAACAACTAGAGCAGGAACAGAATCACAGAAATGGAGATCATATGAAGGGCTATCAGCAGACAGTGGAGGGGGATAGAGGAGGAAAATGTATAGGGAATAAGTAGCATAAATGGTAGGTTGCATATTGAAGGCGTGTTTCTGGCTAGGCCCTTGGCTCTAAGAGTCAGAAAGCACAGTGAGGTGCAGTTTGTCCCCACACAGAAGATTTTTAAGGTGTAAAAACATTATGAAATATAAACAGTACAGTGTGTGTATGTGTGTGCTGAGAGGAGAGAGAAAGAAAAAAGAAAGTATCTGTTTAATATTTGCATTTATTATTTATTGGCCACATAAAACCTAAGAGAACATCACTTATTCATCTTTATATTCAGTTTTCTTAAAAGTTCCTGGCGTATAAGTGCTAAATAAATGGCTGTTAAATGAATGAATGAATGTGTATACAAATATGAATACACCAGTTTCATCATCCTATCATAGGGCTTGGACAGAGAAGCTTTAATTCCAGTTGAGCCAGTACCAACTATTTCTATATTAGTTACTTTGTTTAATTTTGCAAGAGTCTTTAAAAGGGCATCATAATGACTTGACAAGTAGTCAAATAATTAATTATACTTTATTCATTGTACTTCCAGAGCCATCCCTTCAGTATCTGGCCAGGCTACACCACCCACGAGACAATGTTCCTCCACTTTACTCATCTCAGGGCAGGGTCCTCTCCTATAGCTGGTACCCTGCTGAAATTATTCAGACTAACTAGTCCAGGTGCAGATATTTCAGCAATGGCTCTAGTTTTGGCTTTCCCTTCCTCCTGTTTCCTCCCTCCTGACCACTGTGAGGCTTCCCCACATGGCCCCTGTGTGGTGAGCTGTGCCACCTGTTTCTAGGACCTATAATTATAATAAACTTTGTTTCCTGAGCATCTCCAGTGCCTCCTCTTGTAGCTACACTTGACTGTCTCATAAAATAACACTGAACACACACATACACTCAGCCTGGCTTTGGAGACTTCACTTTATACTGTACCTACCGCTTGGAAAGATTTTGCTTTCATTTTATTTGCCTTTCAGACTCTACGTATCTTTCAAGGCCCAGTTAAAATGTCACATTTTATGTGGAGTTTTCCCAGATCACTTCATTCAAATTCATGATTCTTTCCCCTGAACTCACCAGTCAATAAGTATTTAGAATTTATTTTGTTCTTCCTCATTTGTTACAGTTCAGTCAACTTCTCCTGCTATAGTGTTAACTTATTCAGGTCGAAACAATGTTCTGTTCATCATTATGCTCCAACAGATTGGTTCTGGCAATGTTGACAGGAAGTGCAGATATTCAATAAAATACATTTCATGAATTTAATGTTAATTACTACAACTGTGAGGAAAAGAACAGGAGAACTTCTTTCTGCCATTTACAGCCAGATGATATAACTGTATGATCATGTTACTGCCATGGTATAAATCCTTCTTGTTTTCTCATTGACTAGTATGCATGCACCTGTAGGCCCTTCCAGCCTTCTATCACATGGCCTCAGATGGTTCTTCTAACCCCATACCTTCTACCCACACTGCCCCCTACAAATATTTGAAACTCCTGCCAAACAGAGTAAGAATCTTGCTGCCTGAAAGTGCCTTCATGCCTTCTCCCCTGCCATCACCTTTCCTTCTTTACCTATAAAATATCAGTTGTTCAAGGCCCATTTCACATGTTCTTTGTCCATCGTAGTACTTCTGATCTACCCACCCAGATGCTCATGCTCCCCATTAACATCCACTGCATCCCTGTGTTTGCCTTGTGTTTGTGTTTTCTCCTCTCCCACACACCAATGGACGTTTCAGAAAATGTGGTCATGAGCCAAATGGTTCTGAAATACAGGAACGGGGGAAAGGGGAAAGGGGGAAAAGAAAAAGGAAACAAAATTTTTTCTTAGAGTTCTTGTTGTGAAGAAGTGAATTTTTCATTTTTGGAAGTATTCAAGAAGAGATTGAATGAGTTTGCATATTGGGGATAGTATTAAAACAATTTACTTCTCTGTATAAGTATTCAACTAAATGACTTCTGAGATCCTTTCTAACTCTAAAATTCTTAAGTTAAAATTCTTAAAATCCCAACAAGTTAGAGGAGGAAACATTTTGTGCTAGAGGTATGTAATGCTGGTAAAGTGAAGCCTAGTGATACCAGATACAACTTTTTACATGAAGTTAACAAAATTATTTGAAAACTTATTTGGGTTAATATTTTATACTTTCTCTCTTAAGAAACAACTTTCTGTGAATCTGCTGTAAAGTAGCAATGATGTTAATTTGAGTGTCATCTACTTTACTTCCTCCCTTCTAGTTGAGATACAGACAAACTGTAAAAGAACCAAAGCTCAGTGAAAATGTGAACCCAGCCGGAAGAGACCTGTAGGCTACACAATTAGGTTCTTGGAATTCACAAAAGGATTCTTTAGTGTCTTCTGGTTTTAGGCAAGAATTAACAGTTCTCTTCTGGAAATAGCTGTGATCTGTTATCTTTATGAAATTAAATTATTAAGTATCTTTTGATGTTCAATGAGAAAATTCAAAAAAGTATAAAAAAGAAAATAAAGACCACCTGTAATCCTATACCCCAAAGATAACTACTTTTTAACACTTTGGGTGTATTTTCCTTCATTCTTCTCTTGGTGTAGGTAATATATTTGTGTGTCTGTGTGTGATAAAATACAATTTTGGAACATGGTTTTTAAGGCTTTAAAGAATTCCCTCAGGTTCTCTATGAAGAATCCATTATAACTTTTCCCAAAACTGTGTTTTCATCCAAGTAATTTAAAGTTGGGTCAAGAGAAGCACAGAAAATTAAACAACTGGAAAATGAGTTACAGACTATTGAGGTGGATGATGTTTAATTCTGGCAATTTGATAGAGAGTGATGTTTATATACAAGCAAGGCATAGATAGGTAGACAACTGCGGTGACCTACAAAACACTTCCCGAAAATTTTACTCAGAAAAGTCTATCTGGGCTTATCCAAGCAAGAGATAGAGCAGCTTCTTGGCCCATATGGATATGTGCATAGCAAAGGTGGGAAAAATCTGTTTTTTCTAACTTAAAATTCAAGGTTCTTGAACATAAAGAGAAGGAAGAAGTATAGAAGGGTCGTTCAATGAAAGTAAGCTTTCTTTCTTTTTTTTAAAAAAGATTTTATTTATTTATCTTTAGAGAGGGGGAGGGAGAAAGAGAAGGAGAGGACCATCAATGTGTGGTTGCCTCTCACACACCCCCTACCAGGGACCTGGCCCCCAACCCAGGCATGTTCCCTGACTGGGAATCAAACTAGCGATGCTTTGGTTCACAGGCTGGCACTCAGTCCATAGAACCACACCAGCCAGGGCTAAGCTTTTTTTTTAAAGGAAGCAGATATTGAAGTCTTATCATGCTATAATTTTGTAAGTGACTATTATCTTAGTCTGTACTCTTGTCTTGTGTTACTTAGCCATGTCTTGGAAAGCTAGGCCAGTTAGTCCATGTAGCCATACTACTAACCACCATCATTCACCTAAGAATTAGAAATAACATTTTATGATTCATAAAGTGACTTTATATCCCATTTAATACTAGTGTCAAATCCGAATTATTTACAGAATTCTTGGAAGAAAATAATTAGTTTTTGGACAGTTAACTGTACAAACCCAAAGGAACATGGTGCTAATTGACCCTGTACTCTGTGTCCTTGAACTAGAAAATGCAACCCAGTAACTGCAGAACACATTGGACACATCGGAGTTCGAGGGCCATTGCATTTCTGAGGGCCGAGGTTGTGTTTATGGCACATTCCAGTGTGAAATGTTTTCTGACCTGAGGCTTTGACTATATGGTTGAAATTGACAACGAATAGCAAATCTGTAGTGCGGAAGGTAGCGTTGATACACTCTGTTGTATTTGGTGTTGTAACAAGTTAGACACCGACATCACTGCTGTGCCCTTTCTGTTGTGAACCCTGCTGTGTAAGCAATTGCACGGTTGGTTAGATTAATGCATGGTGATGATTCAGTGTTTGAAATGATGCAGCATGTCTCTTGTCTCTTTCTCTGTGAAATTCTAATTTGTAGTGAGTGGCTCAGAACACTTAGATTTGAATTATTCTGTTTATCCAAAAAGTCACTTATTAAATAAAGATGATGTTAGTAATTTTAAAATCAATAGTTTGAGTCAGCTTTACTTTTTGGTTTGTAGACCAGAAAGGGTTAGTTACTTTGATGATGCAACTCTCCAATTTTAAATCAACTGATAATGGGTGAATAAAACCCTACTGCAATGCAGACGTGATATTTAAGGAATAGTTTCTATCATTGTTTATCATTGAAAATCACTAGACTATATATTTAAACTTTTACTTCTTAAGCATATCAACAGCCTTTCAAGTATCCAACTATCTAAGATCCTCTAGGTCTTGCAGGCTGATGCTGTTGGTAATATTTTAGAGCACTGAATTGTCCAACTAAGAAAAATTACATTTAAATTTTATTAATACTCAAATGTAGTTCAGTCAGAAAAAAATTAAGAGATTTTCTCTTGTACATGAAGCTGTATAAAAAAATAGCTACCAATTAGATAAAATAAAGAGCAAGAAGGAAAGTATGTCCTTTTTACAAGGAAAAAAAGCTTCTTATACATGAAAAATGAGGTTCTTTTTTCCATTTCAGTGTAAAACCTGTTCTGAACCAAAACAAATAACCAGTTCATCCGCCATTTACAACAACCCCAATCTCATCAAACCAATTCCAGTGAAGCCCGGTGAGAACCAGCAGCAGCGCATAGCTTGGCCTGTCCAGGTACGCAGTTCCCTGCTGTTCGTGCGAGGTGTCAGTGTGGGGCTCCAACCGATTTCCACCCAGAGCCCAGTGAAGGGGGGTCCTGGTGCTGTGCCAGGATGCTTTAAGGTAAATCCACAGAAGAGAGATTTCAAGTTAGAGTTTTATTATTACTGATAATGTACTCTTCCTCAGAAGGGGTTAAAATTTTTACTTTTGGCATTCACTGTGCTAATCTCTTGGGGACTTGGACTCCTTAGAGGATTAGTTTGTATTTTTTTTTTTTAAAAACAGCAGTCTAATAACATCATCAGTGTTGAGAGCAATATTACCCATGAGGCCCATATTCAGCTGAAGTTGATGGTTTTCCAAAGGCCACTGTGAACACAACAGCCACAGCAACAAAATTCAGTTTAACATTTCTGAGCACCTCCCTTGTAGTGCTAGGTTCGGTGTTAGGCCACTGTGTCTACAGAATGGGGTTCCGAGCCTAAGGAGTGGTGTGGACGTCCCCTATAGACCTGTTGATCTGTCATTGTATTTGCATCTAATTACAAATGTGATGATGGTTTTTGTATGAATATCCATATATGTGAATATATATTTCAGAATAGTAAAGCATTAACAAAATTGCTAATCTGAGAGTCCCACTGATTATAAATAAAATGTGGCTATTTCCATTTTTTATGAGTATTCCTCATTAAAGCTCTTTTAAGGAATTGGTTTAAATCAGTTTTGAAAATTAACATGGAGCCAAAAGACATTTTGACTGGCTAATGAAGGCCTTGTATTGGATTTAAAAAAAAAATAAGTCTTTTCTAATTATTTTGCTTTCTTTTATTATTTGCTTTCCATGGGAATTTGTTGTTTTAATAGAGAAATGGGAATATGTTGCTTTGAGAATGAAGCTCCTATTATCTCAGGCCAATAATAAAGAAAGCAACAGAAAGGGGCAGAGATGATACAGAGTAGGAAGGAAGCAGCTTTGTGACTGGCCAGGCCTATGTAGATTTTATGATTTGATGACTTTTTAAAGCTACTAGTATATAATTGTTAACCAGTTGTCGGTGTTGGTGCCAATTCAATGCCAACAGGAATCTCCAATTTGGGTTGCAGCGAAGATGGAAACTTTCTTCAGTGCAAAACAGCTCAGTTGTGATACAGCACAGCTGTGAAAACAGCACCCCTATGAGGCAGCCCTGGGCCAGGCCCCTCTGCGGCCAGACCGCTGCTCTACTCTGCTCCTCACTGGTCTGTTCTGCACCCATCTGCTTTGTGCTGTGCTGGTCTGCTCTGCTCTACTCTGCCCTGGTCTGTTCCATTCTGTGTAGGTCTGCTTTGTGCATGTGGATCTGTTCCACTCTGCTTTTGCAAGACACCTTCAGGATTTCAGTTGAGCCAGGGAAATGGAGTCTTCAGTCTTTGGGGGAAAGGGAAAGTAAACTCTGGCCTATGTAGACAGAAGTCCCCACTGGTCTCTGATTTGTCTATCCTCATGCAAATGAGGACTCCAAATCATTGCAGTTTGGTTTGTCTAAAAAGCACTGTCCTGACTGGTCAGAATAAAGCCACTCTGGTTGGTCAGAGCTGTGCAGTTCTGATTGGATGCAGAATGCTTCAATCTTCTTTGCTGAAATAGGATTCTAGGAAGTTCTGCCTTCTAGGCTTCTTTTTTAAAAATTTTAGCCCAGTTAGCCACCAAGAGCTACCTTAGTAGGTGGTATCTTAGAGTTCACATAGTTGAAAGGATCAAGTTAGATTAAATGACTTATATTTCTCATTCTAAATTTCTAGAATTCTGTGAAAAGCCACTAGGAATTCTGGAATCTTCATATTCTTTTGTATTTTTAGTATCTTCTTATGCTTTGTAGAGTTAGATGGATTTCCTGTTGAAGAGATTATCTACTTTCTATTGTATATAATTTTGTACCATAGTGGTTCCCAGTCTGTGAACCCCCGGCTCATCAGGGATCATGGTCCTATTTCATCAATCAACAGATACTAAAATATAACAGCTATTTTGGGAGTAGTAGGGGAGAATGCTGTGAAAATTATTGGCACTAAAAAGTTCTCAATTTTGTGAAGTTTATCATAATTAAGCTTTTTCATTCTCTCTAATCGATCCTTCATAAATAGGAGAAATATCAATTAGGTAAGTTATGTTTCATAGCCTCCATATAACCAAATTGTATATAGACCCATTTTGAGACATTTTTATTGTTTCAGACCTTAGACTCTGAAACCCAACACTTGTCCTTGACAGCGCTCTTTGGGAAGCAGGACAAAGCTTTGGGTCAGGAAACTGTGGAGTCTCCACAGACCCTCCAGCAGCAGCAGCAGCAGCAAGAGAAGTTCCCGATTGGGAAGGGGGTTGTACGTTCCCTGTCCTATGAGGAACCCAAAAGACACTCACCCCCTATTGAGAAGCAGCTATGTCCAGCCATTCAGAAACTCCTGGTCAGTGCAGATCTCCACCCATTGTCAGAGCTGCCTGAAAACCAGCCCTGCAAAAATGGCAGTACCCATTCTGCTGGGGAGGATGTCGTTGGACCTGCCCACCCAGGCTCTCCCCGGAAGACTGGGACTTCTCATCGTGTGCACAGTGCTTCCAGAACTCAGAACCTGTTAGAGAAGCTGCAGAGTGCCCCAGGGGTAATGAACAAGTATGACCCCAGTACACCAGCACTTGCCAACTCAGCTGCCCCAAGCTTCAGCATAGCCCTCACTGCTGCCACCCCTGCAACTCCAGTCAAGGGGGTGGCTCAACAACCACTGTTATATTTCAATGGCTCCCTTCCACCTCAGGTGCTAGGACTTCAGGCTCGTGAAAAAGAACAGTCCACAATCCCAAGACAAATGCTCCCTTTCTCTGGCAATCAGGCCAGTGGTTCTGGAGTGATCTCCCCTCAAGAGTTACTGCAGAGGCTGCAGTCTGTGCAGCAGGAGCAGCAGCTGCATACGTTCAACCGACCAGCCTTGGCGGCTAAATTTCCTGTGCTAATCCAGAGCTCGAGAACAGGGAAGTCCTTGGAATCCTGGATTAACAGGACATCCAGCGCAGACAAGCAGCCTCCTCTTTTCCAGGTAAATGTCCCCAGGGGGTAGAGGGTAGAATTACTGTAATACAGTGAAATCTGTTCTCCAGGAATATTTCTATTCAGAAATTTGTCAGGGCCTCCTATGATCTTGTTATTACCTTAATGTCCATCCTAGAAAGAGAATCTTTTCTTTGCTTAGCAATCTTTGCAAAATTATAAGGTCTGAAGACATGGATATGAGAAAGAACATAGCAATAGGGGGGTGAACCCTAATCTTTGTGCACACTTATGGTCTGCATTGAAATCATTCTGAGATATCAAACATCTGACCTCTTCTTGTTATACTTGTCTGTAATAAATTGTTGTTTGTTCATTTATTCAGTAAATATTTCTGAACACTTACTCCTTGCCAGGCACTGTGCTACATGTGGGTACAGAGTGATGAGGAGCACAGATGCACAGCCTCTGCAGAGCCCACAGGCCTGGAGGGACTTGAAGTCAACAGAAAAGATATACCATTAACTCCATAAAGGCTCAGCCTGTTTTAGTTTATATCATTTGTATAGTTTAATGAAGGTGGAGAGAGGGATAAGTATGCCATCTACCCCCCTCCCCACATGTCCATACACACAAATTTCCAGAGAGGGAAAAACATTATGATTTTTTAGATCATTTGTCCTTCAAGGAAGACAGTTCTTTATGTTCATCAATAATTTAGAACAACGAGAAAACCACAGCTATTCCATTGCCTGTGGGTAGCAGCTGGAGATTGGACTTTTTCTCTCATTTGGATTGATACAAATTCATTGAAAATGCAGTAGGTTTAAAAATTAGGAAGTTGTCCCAATTACATACAGCACCATTGGTTGTTTGTCGTATTTTGGCAAATAGCTTATAACGGTCCCTCAAAAATCTTCCACTGTTTTGGAAAACCAAGGTCATAAGCCTGTAGCATAAGTCTTTAGGTCTGTGAGACACTGAGTCAGATGCTCTTGTTTATTTTTCATTAAAATCTCAAATCTGGGTATGTATTTCTATGGAAACAGTATTCACTAATCCTCACCCCCACTTCAGTGTAATATCGTGCCCTTGTTTATATGACTTTTTCTCTCCGATGACTTAGATTGGACACTGGGAAAATTGGGGTTGACACTTGGACATAAACGTTCTACGTGCACAACTCTTTTCAGTGCTCACACGTGGGGTGCTGGGTAAGGAAGTATTTCTGTCAGCCCATACTGTGCTGGCCATCCGCCTTTGGGAGTGTCCATCTCAGCCCCTCTCCTTGTAATAGCAGATAGTGACAGTTAAACAATCTGCCTTTCTTTAGGTTAGTTTCTGCCCAAAAAGATACCAAGGGAGCAATTATAAAATTACAGCAGCCTCTAGATCATTGGCCTCTATACCCCCAACTCGAGTTCTTGTGGGTCATTACGAGGCTGATAAGGCCTTCTTTTCTCTCATCTGAGTTAGAGACAGATGAGAGAGAGCTAGAGGAGTCAGTCAGACAGGATTCAAAGTGTCACTTGCATAACTGGAAAAGCTATCAGAGACTTGGTTTTAGGTTTGTTAGCCAAATGAGGCAGGCAGATTGGCCCAAGCGGACAAGTCATTGGCAGTATTCTACATGACCAGCCCCCAGGGGCCTGCCCCTGCCATGAGAAAAGCAGTAAATGTATGCTCTCTACAAGCAGGCAGATCCTTCCCATCAGGAAGGACCCAGGAGGTGGGGACCCGGGAGTCATGCCTCTCTCCTGGTGAGCAGTGAGTGAGGTGAGAAGGCGTGTACCTCCAACAACTCATATAGTTTGTTGGAACTTTAGGTCACAGTGGTAGACACCTAGCTCTGGGGCAAAAGCCAGCAATCCTAAATGCACGTTGCCAAGTGATGGCCATAAAGCAGAAGAATGAAGTGTTGCTCAGAGATCAAGCTCTATGTGCAGTGAGAAGAGGGTCACCTCAGTAGACTATGCCAGAACTGCTTAGTAACAAGGGAAACATGGAGAATCGATCAGGAATCAGTTCTCCTGTGAGCTTTTCCCATCTAGTGAAGTTGTGAACAAGATTTAAACTCACCTATATCCACTCTTGTAAGTGAGCAGCCTCTTTGTCTCTGTTTCTTTTGTTTCAGTGAGTAGCTACTTATTCCTTCCCTCCATGCACATATTTGTTTTTGAGCAGGTGATCTCACCTCAGTGCATCCCTGCTACAGCTGCTCCTTCTCTGCTCATGTCCCCCATGGTGTTCGCACAACCCACCTGCAGCCCACCAAAGGAGAGGGACAGTGGGCTCTTGCCCCTTGGAAGCCAGGAAGCAGCTGCCGCCTCCACGAGCCTCCTCCTGCCGCTGCAGAGCCAGGAGCCCTCCATACTCAGCAGCAGCCCACTTACCAAGCTGCAACTTCAGGAAGCCCTGCTGTTTCTCATTCAGGTAAGGGCAGCCCATCGTCTCTCTTCTGCCTTTACCAGTTCGGCTTACCTGCTGGTAGCCACTCCAAGGTAAGAACTCAGTTAGTGAGTGCCTACTTATGTACTGCCCATGAATAAGAGGGTGATGTAACAACTCACCCTGAGCCACAGTGGCTCTGTACTTAGCTGGATGCAATTCATAATACTAACTGCAGCTTTTGGGGTCTCAACACTTTAAGGATTTTATAAGTTGGAGGAATAAGTCCTTCAGTCTGTCACCTGTCAGAAAAGAAAGGAGCAGACACTGTGTGATTAAGGATTGTAAATGCTATGGAGTAGCCAAACCGAGAGCTCACCACTGGGAGCAGAGGTGATGTCATCGTGAGCAAGTGGCAGTGCTTACTTAGTTCAGGCCGACTATTGGACAAGGACCAAGCAGGTAAGGGAGCTAGGGATGGCTGCGGCTGCTAAGGGCATGTTTTACAAGTAATGTTGGAACCTGCTAACAGGACAGGATACAATGACGGGCGTTCATCAGCAGACGTGTGTCTTAACCTGTCTCTATGAAATAATAACAACGGCAGCTAACACATATACAGAGCTTTGTGTCAGGCTCTGTTGTAATGCTTTCCATACATTCATTCAACGGCACTGTTATTTTTTCCATTTTAGAGACAAAGAACCTGAGGCTGTGGCCTGCGGTCACACAGTAGATAAGCAGCAGAGCTGGGTGGGATCCAACCCGTCTAGCTCCAGAGTGCTCCCTCCCACTGCCCACAGGGGGCGCTGCAGTGGTAACAAGACTGCTGTCGACCTGGCAAAGCCCATCCTCGAGTAAATGACAGGCCTTGAAAAGTGAAATGCTTATCTCCAGACCCAGGCCCCTCAGTTAACATCTTTAGGTATCTTTTCAATAGACAGTCTTTAAGAAAATTGTTGTGATATTTGGCATAATATCCAGATGGCTTTTAGAGAGCGGGCTAGTGCTTTGAAGCTCTCATATCTTAAGAAGAAAAATGGTCTCTATAAGTAAAAAACATTTTTTTTTTAGATTTTATTTATTTATCTTTAGAGGGGAAGGGAAGGAGAGAGGGAGAGAAACATCAATGTATGGTTGCCCCCCATGCGTCCCCTGCTGGGAACTGGCCTGCAGGGAACCTGCCTGCAACCCTGGCATGTACCCTGACTGGGAATCGAACTGCGATTGTCTGGTTCGCAGGCCCGCGCTCAATCCGCTGAGCTACACCAGCCAGGGCTACTAAAAAACATTTTTAAAGGTGAAATATTTTGGAGAGAATGGAAGCAATAGGGCTAGAAATCAGTTTTCACTGTGGAACTGGAAGAATGTCTGCTAAAGAGGGACAACAAATGAGTGTGCCTTACTAGTGCACAAATACCAGGGCACCAGCGGTTTCTGCCTTTTTAAGCCATTAGTGGTAAGTTCATAAGGACTTAGATAGAAATTCTGTGAGCAACAAAAAAATTGAATTTTAATGTTCCAAATCTCTTACAGCTCATTTCATTTAAATTGCTTGTTGCAAAGATCTCCGTGCAGGAGCCAAGATGCCAGAAGTCCAGGGCGATCCCCGGACCTCGACAGTGGGATATTGCTTTCCCTCCACTCTCTGCATACATTTTACTTTTCTCGTGTTTTAGACATGTTTTCTGGATAGACTGTTAGAAGTCATAAGCAATTGTTTTTAGTGTTTGCCTGTTGGTAGGACACAGTAGAAACTTTGTGAGCACTTTGTAGGAAAAATGGGGATAAGCAGCTCTTCTTCACTGCATGAGAATAATGCTAACTCTATGTGTGGGGTGCTGAGAGGGAATAAAGGAGAATGTGGTACGTGGGTGAACTGCTAGAGCTTTAAAGGATTTGCGTAGGAGGCAGAAGTTTCCAGAATTAAAAACAAAACCACTGCTTAGACCCACGATTCTTCCTCAGCCCTTAGCTAGGCAGAAGATCCCAGAGACTGCCAGTCTAACTTCTGTCCACTTGCCAAGGCCAGAAACTTTCCATAACTAATGTGAGCATTATACTGGCTTTGATGAGGTGCCAGTGAAGCATATTGCAAGCAAAATCTTAAGTAATGCCAAAAATAAAATATACGCATTGGAGGACCTTTAAGAACCACTAACAATCTATCTCCTAACCAAGCTTTGAGAGCCACTGACCTAGATCCAATCCTCCATATCCAGCCCTCTGTGTTTTTGCCAACAGACCCAGGCTTTTCATGAGTGGGCCTCATTCCATACACCCCATGGCTGGGTGGCCCATCTGTGCTGTATGTAACATACTGGCTGTTGACAACCAGCAGTAGACTGCCTGGCCTGGCCTTCAGTCCCACCTGACACTCAGTATGCAATTTCACACTACCAGCTGTTAGACATACAGGTAGAGAGGAGCATTGTAGGGTCAAAGTGCCAGCTCAGCTCCAAGAGAAGGAAGCCTTTTGTTTCTGCTCACTAAATCACATTCCCTCGGGTCTTCTGATTTTGTTTTCCAGAATGATGACAACTTCTTAAATATAATCTACGAAGCGTATCTCTCCAACATGACACAAGCAGCCATGAAAAAGACTATGTGAAAGCAAAATACTTTAAAACTGATTTTCAAGGTCCTCCAGCTCAAGGTTCTTTCCTGTTAAGTGTTGTTACCCTAAATGTTTCTGCCTTTTTAAAAACAGTGTGTGTGATATGAAGTAAATGTTTCAGACATTTTTTTCGTCAAGCTCTTTTTAAAAACAAAAAAACAAGTCCTTTAGCATACCTGGTACTAAAAATTGAATGGGTAAAAAAAGGTTTTTGCTAATATCACAAAGTAAATGCCAAAATTAATTTTTTTTTCTTACGTGTATGGGACCATTTGGAGAAAAATTAGCCTCCACACAGAGGGCTGTTCTGGAAACTTGGTTTCTTTTTCAAAAGCTCTGGTTAGTCTGTGGACATAGATCACCTGTCATGTTCCTGTTGCCAAGCTTTGCGTGCCTAATTGCACGCCCACCACAAGGTGGCAGTGTCACCCGCAGACTCACCTGTGCAGCCCTTACCACCACTTTGGAAGTAATGCTGGTTTGCTTGTACCAGACAAAATAAACCTTCTGTTTGTAAAAATCCAATTGGCATATTTTCCTCGGGCCTTTGAAGGAAATTATTTATAAATGTATTTATAGCTAGTTTCTAGAGGAGAGTTGTTCTAGGAGTCTGTCCACAAATGGCCCAATTTCCAGTAACACCTCTTTTATCCCCGCTCACGCTGTTTCTTTTGGACTCAACCGGTAGAATATGCCTGCCTATATTTCCAGATGAACATTTTATTGCCTTTAGCAAAACGTGCTGAGATGAAGGTCACAGAGGGTTTTAACATCTTTTCTTAGCTTTTAAGGATGGTTTGGAGGCATAGTGATAAGGCTTCTTCAAGCTCTGTAGCAGATTGGTCTTTATATTCAGAAATGAGGAGCTCAGCCTTGGGAGGGATCAGAGAGAGCCCTTGCCAGGATGTTAAGGCCAAAAAGAGTGGGCCTGGGAATTACTTTCTGCTGAGTATTAGTAATAAATAAAGCTTTGCATTTCTATAGCCCTTTTTATTCTGGATCATAAAAAAGATATTTAGATGACTGCACAGAAGTACTTCTATTCTCATTTTATAGGTCATAAAAGGAGGCACAGGAAAAGTAGGTCCCCTCACAGCTTCTTACTTAGAGAACTGGGCTTTTGGCTCTAGACCTTTATTCAGGCGCACCATCAAGCAAAGGGCTGATCTGAGGACCACCTCCGGCTTCTCGCAGGAGAGTACTTCTGAGGAGAAGGGGTGGGTGGGAAGGCAGTGACACCCACTGAACCCTCGTTATGTGCACAAGGCAGAGGACTCTGCTGTTGTCCTCCTATGTTTGGGAAGGAATGGTCTCTTTTGTTTCTTTGATATCTCCTACAACATCTAGCACAGTGAAAAACCCATGTGATATTCTGACAGAATACTTGGGATTGATTGGTAATTGCTCATATAATATCTTAATATTCTTATGAGGAGACTGGGGCAAGGAGAGAGACACTCATGGACCCATTACCTAAAATCGATGACTGTGCTCACTTCGGGAATACAGAGACTAAAACTGGAACAAAATCAATGATATACATAACTGCTGGCCACCTTTCTTTTTTTATCTCTTTGATCTTTATTACATGTTTAGAGTTTCTTCTCTCAGTAAGGAGAAATGAATTCCATTCTAAATGTTTCTAATATATTTGAGATAGCAACTGGCTAATTTCATGAAAAAAATTTTTACCTCAGCATTAAATAGATAAGATATAAAGAAATATCAGTTGCAGCAGCTAATATGAAAAGATGCACATGAGTGATAAAGGAATGGACCCCAGCCCAAGCGTAGACAGACCTGCACTGCAGGCTACACCCGGGCCTCTGTGGGTCAGCACCACAGGAATTGTTTTGAAAGTAGTAAAGTCTCTATCCGTTACTAGAATGATATACTTTCACAGTGACAGGCCCAATTCATTTGGACCAAAGACTAAGTTACCATCTTAAAGGACACTTGGTTCTGAGGTACTTATTCCTTCTATACAGTGAAGCAAAGAAGACCTGTGAGGAATGGATCAAAGGGGTTATCTAAGGCACCCAAAATTAGATCTCATATATAAAACAAACTTTTTTTCTTCCCATTGCCACCACAAATTCTGAGACCAGCACTGACCCCACTCCCAGGCATCGCTGACTCCCAGGCAGCAGATCCGAGCTAACTGAATTCAGACAGAACCCTGAGATTCTGTTCCTAAAGGCAGCATTGCCCGATGCTGTGGGTTTCAACCTTGTCTAAGTTATAGAAGTCAGTTCTGCCTGGTGCAGAGGACAGAACACAGGCTTTGTCAGACAGACTCGCCTTCGGTACCTGGACAAGTTTCCTCACATACTGTTTTCATTTGTAAAAGGAAAGTAATAACCACCCAACAAGGCCCTTATGGGTATTAACTAGGAGCAACACATGTAAAATGCCTCCTCCTGCCACGCACTCACAAGTACGAGTTCCCTCCTGCCCCTCTGCCTCATCTGCTGTGCCCAGGCCCCAACACCAGGTTGAGGCCCCCCGAGGCTGGGCTGCACTCCAGCCGCCAGCCACCATGTGTTCTGACTGACATTGACATGTATGTCTCTGGGCACTTAGCTCTACTCTGTTCTCCCTTCACTTCTTTTTTTAAAAAATATATTTTATTCATTATGCCATTACAGTTGTTCTATTTCCCCCCTTCATTCCCCTCCACCCTGCACCCTCCCCCACCATTCCCCCCCTTTAGTTTATGACCATGTGTCTCAAGTTCTTTAGATTCTGTATTTCCCCTACTATTCTTGCCCTCCCCCTATCTATTTTCTACCCACTGTCTATGCTACTTATTTTCTGTACCTTCTCCCCCCTTCTCCTTCTCCCACTCCCCTGTAGCTAACCCTCCATGTGATCTTTATTTCTGTGGTTCACTCCTGATCTAGCTGTCCTCTTAGTTTGCTTTTGTTTTAGGTCTGCCACCTTGAGCCCTCAGTGGGTCTGCCCGCTGCTACTCCACACCTGGGATCCGCCCATGGCTGCCTGCTCTCTGGGTTGCTTGCCTGGGTCGGTCCAGGGTCGGTCCAGTGTATCTTTCCTGCCCGACCCCGCTGCACTGCTGGCTTCGCCCCTCTTACTGATCTGGCCGGGTCTGGCTGAAAGGTTCATTGTTGTCAGACTTCCACATAGTTCAGTTTTCTGTGATTTGGCTGCGTTTTTGTTGCTAAAACTTTGTTGTTTTTAAACTTGGTTGTGCGAGAAGGCACAGGGTTTCCACCTACGCCTCCATCTTGGCAGAAGTCTCTCTCCCTTCACTTCTTTATCAATAAAATCATGCTTATCCCTTCCTGCCAAAGCAAGTGCCATGAGCTCTTTAAGACAAAGATGCCAGTTTAACCCAAGATGTTATTGTTGTTACTGCCCTACATTTATTGGTGAAGTACCATTTTAATAGCAGAGCCAGAGAAGACAGTGCTATTTGATAGAATTTATAGTCCCTGAACAGTCTTCTGAAAGGACACACATTGCTCGGTCTACCCCCTTGGAATGCCAGGCATGGTGATAGTTGGAGATTGAGAAAAACCTTTGTTAGCATCTTGAAGAATTCCTGGTGTGTGGTCCCAGCTCTTCTGATATACACGAATGGTTTCTTCCAGCTAGTTCAAAGGTAGACCAGGGCGAAATATTCCCAGGCTGGGGTTCTCCCCTGAAGGCACATGTTGCTTGCATCTGGTACATTTATTCTTCCCTCAAACACTGTTAGCCCAACACTTTTCTAATGTCCTCGTATGGACAGAACTCTGCTTTCTTCCTCTTCAATGAAGAGGGTGCAAATCAGAGAAGAAAGTGCCTTTCCTCCTAAAGAAATGTCAACTATTGAATAGCATTAGCCCTATTTAGTTCTCTTGGGTGCTAAAGAGAAAACAAACAGTTGACACATGTTAAGACTTATGTCCCTGGTATTATAATTTAAGGATGGGAGGTATCAGTCAAAGACTAAGCCTCTGAACATCAGGCTTCACTTAGGTTCAACTATATGTTAGTGCAGACACAGGGAATAAAAGAAGCTCAAAATTAACTGCAGGGATAGTTCATTGTTTGGCAGGGCTGGGGTGGGGTAGAGGTGTAGGGTTAGGAGTGATGTCTCCAGACTGTGGACAAATTGGCTGCTTGCGTGCACCTCCTGGCAATATAGAAGCCTTTTTTTTTTTTTTTTTCATAGTTTCTGCTGTATTTAGACAGGTATCTCCTCCCTTTTCAATGAAATCAGCTTTCTTCTCAGGCTTTGGAATGTCGAACCAACTTTAAGGTTAAATTCACCATTTGCAGCCAGCAGGTTGTAGCACCACTTCATCATGCAGAGTTGCCTGGCTGCAGAGATGGGTGGATCTCACCAACATCTTGCTGAATACTTGATTTTTAGGCTTCAAATGCTCTCCTTACAAATAGGGGAGTGAGAGGGGCACTTTCAAATACTTGTTATATTTAACTCAACCTTGAGTATTAAATAGAGTTTTACCAAATTGAGTTATGAGTAGTGCCTTCCAACAGCTCAGAGCCCTGAGAGAAGTACACAAATAAAACTGTGTGTGCAGGTGATAGTCTTAAAACATAGGGTGATGGCTGGAAGCAGAGCCCCATCAGTCATGTTTTCCAGGGGCTGGGCCGTGGAGACAGGCATTGTGGCTCTGAGCCAGCTAGCACAGCCCAAACTATGCAGCCCGAATTAAGGGCACAGCAGGAAGGAAGCAAAGAATGCTCTAAATAACCAAGAGAAAGGGTGGGAGACCCTACAGTTGTAAGCCAAAATCTAAGAATACTCCCACAAGTCTGAGGACAAAGATAAAAGTCACTGAATATCTAGGTGAAAGGTGAGGAAGAACATACCAAGGAGGTTGGCTGGCATTGAAACAGACACTTGAGGGCAGTGTTGGGAGTGCCCAGCCTTCGTGACACTGTGCTGTTGTACAGCAAGGCCACCAGGCCGGAAGGCAAGATGCCTGCAGGGGCCTGTGATGAAGGTCGCAAGTCCCTTCCAGCTGTGTCTACACACAGCGCTATGAAAGACATAGCCTAGGTAGAGGAGGCTTCAGCTCCTCTGAGGATTTTTTTCTCACTTCCTACCACCTGGCCAATAGGTAACGCCAACCATGACTTTTCTCAGCACAGCTAGAGCCTAAGTAATCCATTTCAGAGCTCCAAAGACTGAGAAGGCAGTCTCAACATCTAGGTTGCCGTGAGTTCCTTATCCCACGTTACTCCGAGTCAAAGAGATCTGGATTCTAATCCTGCCACCTGCTATCTTTTTCCTCAGCCAAGTATCGGGGGGAAATTCTCATGTATGGTTATCATGCCAACATAGAAATTGTTGCCTTGGGTCGGAGAAAACCCATCCAGTTTATGCAGTGGCATTGTCCATTGCCCCAATGGAATATGCATGGGAAGAGCTTGTGCTTCACGCCCATCTGTCTCAAAGGTGAGGTGCATCTCAGCTTCTCTGTGTTGCCATGTATAGCTCATCATAAATCTGTCCGGAATTCTGTTTCTTGCTTCCAAACTTTGTGCCCATAGCACTTTCCAGGGTTATGAGTTTCTTAGGTTTTATTCCCTTCTGTGTACATAGTAGTTCACTAGGTATGCCCAGGGACTAAGAAGCTGTGGGTTGATGGGAAATCTGTAAGTAACAGACCCTTATAGGATGAGGGGCCAGCCTGTTCTGCAGAGCCAGCCTGTGTGTGAATGTCCATGACCTGTCAGAAGCCCCTGAATTCCCCAGACCAGTCAGTAATGTCACCTAAGGGTTGTTCCTAGGTTTGGGTTCCTGAAAATTTTTTATCCTCCTCAATGCGTTTCCTTCCCCCTTAGTCTGCTTTCACTGGGAGATATCAGAGAAATGTGCCTCGTTTGCTTGTGTATATTCAGAAAGCATATCTATTTTTCCCATCCACTGGAAGTGAGCTGCTTTCCCCCAAACTCTTTACCACATGCCATGTTGGGGGGGGGGTGCTTCATTCATTCATTTATGCATGTATTCACTCAGGAATCATGTGCCATTCTCTGTGTGCCAATACAAAGTTGAGTAAGACCTGGTCCCCTCCCCAAGGATCTCACAGTCCAGCTGAAGGGAGACTAGTTATAAAACATGAAAAGGACAATAATTGATGTGCTTGGGATGTAATGACTCCGCTAAGGCAGACAGGAGGTTGAGAGGAGGCTTCTAGGCAGAGTGCCTAAGCTGGTTCTTAAAGGGTAGGTAGAGGGTTGACAAAATGGACGTAGCCAGGTGTTCAAGCAAATAAAAGATGACAGGAGATATGAAGTCAAGAAACGAAGGTGTGTGCGTGTGTGTATGTAACTGGACAGGGCATAGAGAGGCAGAGTACCTGCTATGCAGAGTTGCTGAAACTTAAATGGAGAGAGAGAGGGTGGCAGGAGATGTGACTGAAGAAAGCACAGGCCAAACTCTGTACAATAGGGGCTCATTGATGGATCAAGCATGGAGGGCTATGATCAGATCTGTAAGAGAAGGAGGGAGTAGGGGAGAGAGACAGTGGGCAGTAGAGATGCCTTCAGGAGATAGCAGTGCTGGTCCCACTGGGAAAGGATGATGGTCCGATCTCAGGCAATGATGGCTGAGATGTAAAAAAGAGAGAAGAGACAGATTTAAGAGATACTTAGGAGACAAAATTGCTAAATCTTAGTTAATGATGATCTGTGATTAGTAAAGGAGAAGTCAAGAATGACCCCCAGGTTTCTAGCTTGGTTGACTGGGTTGACGATAACCTAGAGATCAAATGAGGACATGCTGGCTAGAGTTAACAGTAATAACAGATAGCCCCTATTTAGTTCTTCATATGTACCAGGCACTATTCTTGGCACTTAGCATGTTACTTCATTTGTCCTTCACTGAAACCCTGCAACATATCCCCTATTTTATGGCTGAGGAACCTGGAATTAAGTTCATTTCTTCTTAATTGTACCTTTTTACTCAGTCTATTCATCGGCAGAACCGTTCCTTCTCACAGCCCAGACGAATGCTGGGATGGCAAGGAGGCAGCATGATGTCCACATTTGCAGGCTGGCCTAGGCTTGGGCCTATAGCAAATGCTTCCCAAGCCTAGATTCCCCCCACAATTGATGACAGCAGGACAGAGTTGGTCTTAGGAATGAGGAGATCTGGGTCCCATGGGCCCAGACTGACAACCTCCCAGAGTCCAATCCCAATATTCTGTTGTTCTCCCTGGGTGTCAGCAAAGGGCCCCATGGCCCCCTCATGGTCTCTGGCTCTCACAAAGTCACTCTTGAAAGCTTCCTGACCTCCCTGGGCAGAAAAGTTTGTGTCTCTGCCTGTGTTTCCCAGGCAGAACCCCTCAGCAAGCTCTGGGGGCCTTTCACCCACTCCAGCTGCCACCCCTTGGTTCTCCTGAGGGAAGCAGCAGCCACTTCACATTGGTACCTCAGATATCCCCTTGGTTGAATGAATTGAAATGTGGTGGCCAAGGGAAGGGCTGGGAGCTGGGTACTGCTCTCTCCTCCTCCCCACTACCCAGGCCTAGCTACCTGTAGGGTGCTCTGCCCTTAGCGAATGCCCCAACCAGGGCACTTGGAGGCAGCCTCCTGCAGAGGTCAGGACAAGGCCTAGGAGACCTAGGTTCTAGTTCACCCATTACTATTAACCTGCTGCATGGCTCCACCACCCCGCACCCTGTATGTCAGCTTCTCTGTTTTTAAAAAGATGGTTGGACATCATAACAAAGAACAACAGCCTCCCATATGAGGAGCTCTTTGCAGTTCCTATGAACCAGGTCTTGTTGGGGCCATTGCTTGCAGAAGGACCTGTGACAGCTTTTGGTCCAGTGGGGCTGTCCTGATTTGGGGGATATTGGGGACCCCTCCATAGCTCAGATGCAGGTGCGCCATCCTTTGTTCCATCACACTCCAATGGGGAAAAGTAAAGGCCCGCAACTCCACAGTTCAACCTCAGCTGGGGCCTGCAGAGCCTCAGAGGAATTTTGCAGGAACAGAGGTCCTTTCAGTTCTCACGACCAAAGATTCTGGAGATGCAAGTTCTCTTTCTTTTTTAGAGCAACTCAGTTGTCATCAATAGAATGACCCCATAATCGAGCATCCAAGTGAGGATACTTCTGGGCATGAACTATTCATAATTACAGCAGATAGTGGGCATGAACTTGGAGCATCCTGGGCAAATGGGGACAAGTCGCCACCAAGTGTCTCACCATATATGCCCTGCCACTGGCCAGCCCCAAACAAGCACAAGTTCAGCCATTCAGTTAGCATCGGCCTTAGACTAAGCCTAAAAGAAACCAGACAGCAGGCAAATAGCCACCCCTGGAGTCAGGAAGCTGAGTTCTGAGCCCAGTTCTGCCATTAATTTGCTGTATACAACTAAAGCCAGGTCATGTGAACACACTGAGCCACAACTTCCTTTGTCAAATGAAGGGTTTGAACAACCTGTGGTTTCTTCCAGCCTCAACATGCAGCTCTCTTTCTCCTTTGGGGTCCTTCCTTTTTCACTAAGGTGTAAGCTCAAGGGAGGTCACTACCAAAGGTGGCCTTTTGTCTTGAGTGTAAAATGACTACCGCATTCTCTGCCTCCACTACTACCTGGAGACAGGCCCCCCCATGCCAAGGACAGGGATGCTTTGGAGTTTTGTGAGATGGCTTTGTATCCTGTTTGGGCTCTGCCATTGATTCCTTCTGAGGTCCTGCAAGTTACCCACCATTTCTTAGCCTCCCTTAGAGAACCAGGTGCCAGCTCCGCATCAGCAGGTACAGTGGTCCTAGGCCGGCCCCGTGGCCCCTGCCTGCTTCTCTCAGGTGCCCTTTTGTGCTCAGCTTGAGACCCCTCTTTGACCTTGGCCAAAGGCACTGATTATAATCAGTGAACCTGAGGAAGGATTTTGTGAGATGATAATCCAACCCTCCATTTCCAGGTGAAGACACAGGCCCAGAGAGGGGTTTGGACCTGCCCAAGGCCATGCAACTAGTTAGTGGTGGAACCAGGACCACTGCAACTGCCACCTTGGACTTCAGTGGCCTCTGTCCCCAGCACAGCACAGTTCTCCCCCCAAGGGACTCAGGCATCAGTCAACCTTTAGGAACTGTTGATTTATAAAGCTGCTGCGTTTCCTTCCAGCTTCTGAAGTGTTTTACAGGCATTAATTAAGGAAGGTTCTCAGCAAGCCCAGGAGGGAAGGAAGGAAAGAGTTTGATGGGGAGATTCTTCAAAGGACCAGTTTCCCCTGCTAGGTGCCTCTCCTGTTTTTTCTGTAACTCTTCAGTCTCCTCAGACACACACATGCACATGCACACCAGCCCATTTCTAGCAGCCTTCTGGTGTCCTCCATAACAGAGCTCTGCTAACTTATTCTGATTGTGTCTCTGATGCATCCTGGAGCTTTGTCCCCAGTAGTTTGACCCCAACCAGCAGTGTGCAGGGGATGCTCCATAGTCAGAGTCACTTCACCTCACACACCCTCCCACCAGCCTCCCCTCCTCCCAAAATTCATTCCTGAATGTTTTGCACACTCCAGCTCAAGTCATCTCCCATGCTGTGGAGAAATAATCCTTTATTTGCTTTCTCATTACGGTGAGAGGGGTTCACAGGGGAAGCCCAGGACCAAGAGGCAGGTACTTCAGTGTCTGTGCTAGAGCACTGGGTCAGCTCCCAGGGGCTACCATAACACAGCACTGCACACTGAGGTTTAAACAACAGAAATACATCATCTCACAGTTCTGAGGCAGAAGTCTGAGATTAAGGTATCAGCAGGATCGGTTTATTCTGATGGCCATGAGGAAGCATCCATTCTATGACTTTTGCTTACCTTCTGGTGGTTTCTTGGCAATTTTGGCTTCCTTGGCCTACAGAAGTGTCACTCAGTCTCTTTCTTTATCTTCAGATGGTGCCTTCCCTGTGTGCATGTCTGTCTTCCAACTTCCCCTTTCCATCAGAGCACCAGAAGTATTGGATCAGGGCCTACCCTAATCCAGGATAACCTCACCATGACTAATTACATCTGCCACAACCCTATATTTGCAAATAAGATCACATTCTGAGGTACTGGGGGTTAGGACTTCAACATTTGAATTTTGGGTGGGCACCATTCAACCCAAACAACTATGTTACTGAAATTCCATAAATCAGGGTCCTCTTGGACTAATTAGTGTCTGTACTGGTGGCCTGAGTGACTCACATGAGAAATGTTCCTGTTTAGACACCAAGACCCACCAACCAGTGGCTGGGGTTCTATAGCTAGAGAGCTGTATGTATGAGTTCCTTCACAACTGGCCGTGGTGGGTACAAACCAATGTTGAACACACAGCTCAGGTGTAGTCTGGCGTACCTTCCAGTGAGGAGGACACTGGGCATGAGAGGTTTTAACCCCAAGAGCCCAGAGTTAGAGCTCTGTCTTGTGTTCTTTGTCACTGTCTTAGGTTGCATTTTTGATGTTCATCAGACCAAGGTGGCCTGCTCTTGGCAAGAAGGAGCTGGTGTTCTTCTGACTGTAGAGACCCACAACTCTCAGTGTTCATTTGGTTTAAGTTTCTAATGGCTATGCTTAATTCTATGCTTATTCTACCTTAATTCTGACTCCCTATACTGCCACTGTGGCTCTTTCATTTTCATTGCTTCTCTTTCTCTCTCTCTTAGGCATGCAAAAAAAAAAACAAACCCTGAATTAATCATACTCCTTAGTTTATATAAACCTTTATTATCAGTTTGGACAAAGACCCTTTTTAATTTTACTCATTTCTTCCCTCTTATGTCCAAGCCCCGCTTCATTGCCTTTCTTCCCAACAGCATCCCCTGCATCCATTCTGTTTGGTCCAATGTGCTCCTTCTTGTTCATCTGAGTTCTTGCAAAATGTGTGTTGTTTTGTGTCCATCAATTTTATTTTAATTTCTGTTGAAGATAACATGCATACATAAAAAATGCAGGCTCTTAAGTGGAAAACTCAATGAATTTTAAGAATAACTGTACACATGGGCCAGCCATCTGTGTTAACCTGCCACCCAGATTAAGATCTGAACACATCCAGTGCTCCTGAAGGTTGCTCACACCCCTTCTCTGTCAAAAGTAACCCCCAGAGTTACTGTCCTTCTGATCCCTACCATCATAGACTGCTTCCCTGAATTTCAGATAAATGGAGTTACATAGCATATAGTCTTTATCATCTTTTTTACCTGGCTTCTTTGACTCATGTTGTTTTTACCAGTGTATGGCATTTAGTCATGTGAATCTTTGAATTGTTAGACCTGTTGATGGACCTCTGCATGTCTCCAAGGTTATGACTTTCATGAATAAAGCTACTATGATTTTTTTTGTGCATGTCTTTTGATGAATATCTGAGCTTATTTCATTCAGTAATTACCCAAGAGTAGAACTGTGGGTCATGCAGTAGTAGGCATTTTCCAGCTCTAACACACTGTGTGTTGTACCAACTGACATTTCCTCCAGCAACATATTATTTCTAATGAATACCATCCTTGTCAGCTCAAAATATGGTCAGCCTGTCATTTTCAGCCATTTTGCTGAGGGAGTGTGGCATCTCATGGTGGGTCGAGTCTGCATTTCCCTGATAACTGAGAGTGTTGAACACATATGCTACAGGTGCGGATACTGGCTAATCATTTATGGTTTTCCGTGAAGTGCCTGATCAAGTTTGATGACTGGGCTATTTGCTTTTCCATAATGATTTGTCTTATTTTTAAATGACTCATTTATTGGGTGTGGAGAGAAATACGTTTTTCTAGTCCACTGTGGGCATTTTCACCCCTTTAATGATGTCCTCAGATACAATTACAGGTATTCTTAGTTTTAATGAAAACTAAGTTAAAACTTTTTCCTCTTATGATTGGTGTTTTTTGTGTTTTAAGAAATCTTTGGCTAGCCCTGGGAAATTCTAATTGATGCACTTTTTATGTCTTTTAAATTTTATGTCAATATTATTGTGTCATAAATCTCATTTTTCCCAAGTGCTGCCTTTTCTTTCCACCCTTCTTGCCACCTGCACATCCAACCTGCACATAATACCCCACGATGGGCACCCTCTTTGTCCAGCAGTTACCTTGCCAGCCCTTCCCTGTGCACTCACTCCTGTGTCGCACTGGATAGCACTGCTGGTGGTGGGGAGGCACTCAATCCAAGAAACTTCTGTCCTTAAACTTAGTAACATGCAAATGGTCGTGCAGAACTTCACTGACTCCAGGGTGTGTTGACCTTCACTCCTTCATGCCTAAGTATCTCTGTCTCAAGCAGGAAAGCCAGGAGGCATGGCTCCCAAATTTCAGGCAGTGTGTTGGGGTCACCTAAGAACCCTGAGGCCCCGCACGTTAGGGATTTGGATTCAGTAGTTATAGGACAAGGCCTGCACTTCCCACAAACCGCCTTCAGTGATTCTGATATGCAATCAGGTTTTATCTACTCAAGAAGTTATTTATTGAGTCCTAACTACATGCCAGGCCTTGACCCAGGGGCTGTGGCCAGAGCAATGAACAGAGCAAACAAACATTCCATCCTTGAGGAGAAGATGGGGAATAAGCAAGAGAGACAAGAAATATATGCAAGATGTCAGAGAGAGATAGAAATGCTGAGGAGGAAAATTAAACAGGGAAGGAGAAAAGCAGGTGCCAAATGAGAACTTCAGTTATTTTTTTTTACTTAAAACTTTTATTTTATGATTATAGTGGACATACAATATCATATTAGTTTCAGGTGTACACCGTAGTGGTTGGACATTTATATACCTTACCAAGTGAGCCCCTGACTAGTCTTGCACCCAGCTAGCACCATGCTTGAGTACTGCAATGGTATTGACTTTTTCTGTGTGTTCACCTTCCCCTTCCCATGACTGCTTTAATAACTATCCATTTGTCCTTCTTAATCCTGTAACTGTTATGGCTCAGCCTCCCATATGGTAGCCATCAGTTTGTTCTCTGTATCTGTGAGTTTGTTTCTATTTTGTTTGTTTATTTATTTTGTTTTTAGATTTCACATGTAAGTGGAATCATATGGCATTTGTCTTTCCCTATCTTTACTGCATGTAGCATAACACCCTTTAGGTCCATCCATGTTGTCACAAATGGCAAGGACTGTGCTTTTTGACAGGGGACATGCACAGGAAAGTTCTCACTGAGGAGGAGACAACTGAAGAAAAGACCTGAAGGCACTTTGAGGAGCCTTGTAGGAATGGGGGAAGAATGGTCAGGCAAAGGACAAAGCTGTCACTCCTTTACTTATTAACGCTTTCCTGCCTCTCACACCTGGAGCATTGCTTGCTGTGCCCAAGTATTCCTGACACCTGTGAGGAGGAGGTCCACTAACTGGACACAGGCCCTGCTGCCCCCATTCCAGCACCCCAGACCATGCTGGGTGGTCACAAAGCAGACATCCCCCACTTCCATTTTTGTGTTCTGTCAGACCACAAGTTTTGGGGTGTCCTTTGTGTAGTCACATGCCTTTGGGGGGCTGGGTCCCCACACCAGTCAGGAAGGGAATTGCGATTAGTTTAAGCTGGTCCTGGCAGGCCCCATGCCCTGGCCTATGACTCCTTCAGGCACAGGAATAGGATACAGTCTGGCTTCTGGGAAAAGCTGCATGATTTCTGCAGTAAGTGTTCCTCACAGGTAAGAGATGCACAGGCAAAATCAGGTCCTCTTCTTCAGGATATCGTCATGTCTGAGTGCAGTGTCTGGGACAATAGTGAGCATCTGTGACCATAAGGGGAGCTGACTTGAGAACAACCCCCAAAACTGAAATGACAGGAGAAGAGAGGTGGAGACAGGAGAAACTTAGATCTTTGCGATATGCGTGAGAAGATGCATACACCAACCCCGGAACCATGTAGACTTCTTATGGGAGAAGCACCAATTGATACACCCTCCATTCCCACAGCCTTGGCAGATGTAGGGCACTTTTCTGACAGCTCCCTGAAGACAGGGGCTAGGTAGAGTCAACTCTCTCCTCTTAGGACCTAAAGGACTACGGGGCTTTCGGGCTATGCCTAGGCTCACTGTCAGACTTATACCGCTTGTCACAAGGGCACCAAGCAAGTTATGTGGGGCAAAGGGCAAAGACCCAGGGAGAGTTAGCTGCTCTGGCTCTGGGTCCCCACATTCACCTTCTGGGTTCTTTTGTGTTTGCCTCCTTAGCAGCCCATGAGCTTCTCCCACGGATGAAATTATCATCATCCTTGTGGCTCTGAGTCATCAGGACCCTGTATAATGCCAGGTACACTGTATGTGCTCAACAGAGGTTTGCTGAGTATTGGCAAGTAATGAAGAGTAGTTGAGAAACAGAAGGGGAGAAGGGTGAGAAGAGACTAGAAGTGAACAGCCTTGGGCATGGGGCAGAAAATGAGGAGTGAGATTCCAGAAGGTGGTTTGCAGAGAAGATGTATGCAGTGCGACTTCTTCATAGGCACCAGTGGAGGCTGTGAAACAAGAGGATGAAGGTCCAGGGACACAAGAAGCCAGTAGGCACGTGCACAGGTGAGCGTGACCAAACAGTTACCAGCATGCCTATTTGGCTCCCTCCTCCCTCTCTTCTGCTTCCTTTCATCCTCACTCCCCATGACCTCCTTCTCTCTCTCTCTCTCTCTCTCTCTCTCTCTCTCTCTCTCTCTCTCTCTCTCTCTCTCTCTATCTCTCTCTCTCTCTCTCTATTTCTATCTCTATCTCTATATCTCTCTCTATCTATCTCAAAAATGAAGACACAGCTTAGGCTTGGAAGGACGAACCTCTAGCTGAGTGTAGTTCCAGCTGTGGTTCCCAGAAATGCTTTGGGGAGTCAGCAGAACCAATAACTGCCTCATGTTTCCTCACCTCCACCTCTCACTCTGCTGCTCCAGAATAGCTGCTGATGCACACAGAGCGCTGGCTGCACAGATGTCACTGCCTCCACCTCTGGGGCTGCTGCTGCTCTTGCCAGTGAGACTCCCTGCCTGATCACAGGTGTGAGGATGATGACAATGATAAGGAGAAGCATGGTGACCATAGCATCCTGTAGCCAGCAGTGTGAAGGAATGTAATGTGCACCATTCCTGCCTCCTCATACCTTCAGATATTACTGCCCTCCATTCCACTGAAGAGGAAATTGAGTCAAAAAATAAAACAAAACAAGAGTGACTCCAGTGCTCATTTGCTACATGATCCTTTGTGACTTTATTTCCCCAAAATACAGGCAAGAGTCCCTTCCCCAGTCCTCTGAGGTGTAACCCAAGGCATTGTGAATTAGAACCAAGGCAAAACATGAGACTATCCTGTTAGAGAATGGCCAGCCAACAGAATGAGAATCCACTGATGAGTGCAAGGGACTACTCACAAAGGGCCGATTTAGTCTCTTTACCAGAGTAACTGACAAAGCTATGCATTACTCATGTATTTCCCCTCAGGAGGGAATAGATGAGAGCTCTCTCAGGTCAATGGGGTTCATCTGAATTGCACATCTGTGAGGTTGGTAAGGCAGTGTTTTCCTTACAGATTGCTTCAAGAACACCCTGGACTGCAGACTGGCTCCTGCCAGGTCTCCTCACTGTGAGCCCTGAATAATGCTGACCCTGGGTGTCAGCCACAAGTGGGCACGGGATGAGCCTTTTCTGGCCTTGCTGGAATGTTGTCCCTGGGAAGCCCCAAGCTGCAATTTCTGGGTGAGCTTTTGGCCTGGACCAGGTTTCCTCACAGAACCTGCCCCCACTCTCCAAGGAAGCATTCTGCTCCCTGCCAGGACCAGCTCTTCTTGGCTCCTCATTGCTTTTATCTCCTCCTACCTACATGGCCTGCAGGGCTTAGTACCACTGGTACTGGCTGAACATGGCTACGTTTCAGCACCAGCTCCAAGCCCCTCACTCTAGCTGGCATGGGCCCCAGTATTTTTAATGTCAGGGCCGTGTTTGAGAACCACATTGCCAGGATTTGGCTGAATGCTTCTAAATTTAAGCTCATGTAATGTTTCAGACATGAGCAGTGGTGTGGCCTACGGAGCCTATTTCCACTCCAGTCTTGGCTGCCTGGCCAGATGCTGACATGCAGCATGACCAGCTCATGCTGACATTCCTGGGGCAGACACTAGACAAGCAGGTTGGAGGCTGCCCCTACCTCTTCAGGGCTCTGATCTTTTGTGGCTGCAGAGGACCAAGTTCAAGGTGAAGTAGACAGCTGATTTCTAAGGACCTTCCTCCTTCACTCTGACCTCCTGAGGCACCCAGAGGTCTCTCCCTGGGATGCTTCTCAGACCCCTCTGCTTCCCCTGGTTTCCTCCTCAGCCAGCCCTCACTGCCCAGTCACAGCCTCCAGCTTTCCAGAAGGAGAGAAGAATACTGAGTGGAAGTG